CTTTTCTTCATTCTACTGTATCTTTCTCACACCACATCCCACTTTGTAGTGAATGTTAATACGAACTTTAAAATATTTTTACCAAAAATGAAAAAAAAATACAGTCCTGGATCTGTGAAAAAGGAGACGATAGGACTGCTTAGCTTTTGTGTGAGGTGCCAAAGATACAGTCTTGCTTTTGTTGACTTTATTTCATCTTGCTGCTGTCGCTGACATTCCAAAGAACACATATATTTCAACAGTCTTTATGTTTTATCTTTTAAACATACACACCCATAGGAGCTATCAAGAGCAGAGGAAGCAATAAATACAGTCTGGAGAAGAGAGCTCATTGGACTGGCTAAGGAACTGAGAAATGCTTCGTGTAAAAGAAAAAGAGCACAGAGGTAATATTTTATAAAGCTTTTTTTTATTTTGGAGGAGGTTTTGGGCTTTAGACCCTGCTAAACAATTTCAACATCTGTAGACTCTCCAGTATGCTTTGGGATCACTTCCTGGAGTGGGACTGAATAGAAATGACTCTTAGTCATAACAAAATTTTCTATCTAAGCAAGATTATGGCACAAACAACCAGAAGAAACATCTCTTCCATTTTGGTGGTTTCTTTGCCTTTGGAAGGGAATGGGCTAAGAATTCAAGACTACAGATCCAGGCATGTTTGGAAGTCCCAAATTGTTTAAACAAATAACCGAAGCAATTTGAAACAATAAGCATTTAAATAATTTTAAATCAATAATTTTAAATCAAGTTTGGAAAAGGAAGATTCCTAGTTTTCTGCTGTTCAGAGAACAAGAGGCGCAGCACAGCTACCTTCTGTAGAAGCTGAGTTAGATGCAGTTCTTGCAGCTGATATGTGTGGGCTTAGTCACTAAGATCAAAGTAGGTTTTCTTGTAAGGGTAGATTAGGATATTGTTTCTTGCAGTACCCTTTTACTGAGATTTCTAGTTTACATTTTGAAGATTTCCTTGACTGGAATGCTTTGATTTACAAGGAAAGCAGAAAATACAAGGAAGCTGGTGTGCTGAGTTAGTGAAAAGAATATGTGTGGCTCTTTGCTAACAAAGCGTTTCTTAAAGATCTACTATCTGAACAAACTAAAGTGCATGAAACTTCTTGATAACTGGTTTGACCCTCAAATTCATGGTTTCTTTTTCAGCTTCACTGAGGATGAAGATGATGCTACAGTGTTATATGAGATGTTAGGTTCTTTATGGTTTTATGTGGTACTTACCTGCAACCTAGAGATATAATCACTTGGAAATCTACAACTGTACAGCCACAGAACAATATTAAGGAAAAGGTATTATTTTATAAAACCCATACTTTGTTGTTCTTTTAACATGCATGTTCTTTTTAACATGCAAGACTAATTTGTTTTGATGTACATTCTTTCATTTCTGATGAGACAAAAATCAAACTTCATTTTTAATACTCTTCCCCTTTTTCTTGCAGAAGAAAGTAGAATTTTATCACATAACTTTCAAATGAGAAATGTTTTGTTAGTATTTCAAATTTTTTTTCCAATTTTTGTCCTTTTTCATTCTGATAAAAATTTACTTTTAAGTCAATTGCCCTAGAAAAGTAGCATTTATGGCAAACAGTGAACTTTATTTTTGTTTGTTTTCAGCAGACTTTACTTTAGAGATGATTAGTTAGGTTGCTGAGTTCACATCTGCATGATATTTTATACTTGGTAATTGCTTCCAAAAGTGTTTGTTAAAAGATTGATTCTTATGATGCATGTTGACAGATACTGAGCTGAAGAATCTGCTCTCTGAAGTGTGTAGGTTTGCAGTGTGCAGGAAGTATCAGGCAGTGATGCAGGTAATTATCACCTGATGTGACAACATGATGGTACCGTAAGCCACAATGCCTAAACTTTAGTTGGATGTAGATGAGCCTTGAGATCCTGTGACAAAAATGAAATTAACTCCTGTCACTTCAGTAAGGAACTATCAGGGAGATATTAAAAAAACCCATAAATATTAGAAGTCCCTGAAAGCTAATGAACCGGTTTCCTTTAGCTGAAATGACAGAGTGTCTGCCAAGAAATCCGAAGACCCAGTCTATGTTTCTCTCTCTAAAGCAATTAGTCAATCAGTACCTTCACAGATCTGTGAAACAATCTGTCCTATTTCATACGTCTGTGCAAGAATTACTTTAAAGTGATAAGGTTACTGCAGTGAAGCCTGGCAAAGACTTTTACAATGGGGTTGTATGCTGTTAGAGTCACCAGCAGCATGCTAAGAAATGTCAACTGTAATTAAAACCAATCATCTTCAAATATATGTCATGCTTTGGAAATGGTGAGGAATGCTTTTTGCAGTAAGAATTCTCAGCCTTGTGAGCACAGACTTTTTAAAGATTTGTTTTTCTTTTTGTGGGAGGAAGATTTTTGTTTTTCTTTTCCTTTTGGCAACACCATTTTGGAAGATGTTTATTCATTATGGCAATTGTATCAAAAATCACAGAACTGTAGGTTTCTTATCTAAACTTGTCACAGTTCTTATTGAGCTTGCATTTAAGGATTGTCCCTGCATGTAATTCTGAGTACGTGACATGGAATCTATTTTAAAGATTTGTGAAACACTTCGGCAAAACATCTATTTACTGAAAAGTGACATTTCAAAGAACTGAATTGAAATTGTGCACAGCTTTTGGCAAATGGTTTTGAAAAAATCACGTTTGTAAATGGTTAAAGACTTGCTTCTAAAATAAGGCATTTAAATGTTGCAGACTAATTTCACATAAGGATACAGTTTCCATTTGCAAAAATAAGAAGCAGCTCCCCTATACCCTGTTCATTTAATTCTCCATGTACTGCACTGATATAGTAATTTAAATATGATCCTCCTTGATCCAGGCAAGTATTTTATCAGGACAAAATGCCTCACTGTGTGAGGTTTATAACTGGTACTTGGATTTTTCATTCACTAGAGAAGGCTCTTTGGCCACTCTCATGCTTACTAAGTATTTGGTCGTTCATTAAAAAATGTAACAGAGGCAATTGAAAACATTGCCTCCAGTCATCTTCAGAATCATAGAATCATAGAATAGTTTGGGCTGGAAGGGACATTTAAAGGTCGTCTAGTCCAACCCTCCTGCAATGAGCAGGGACATCTTCAAGTAGATCAGGTGCTCAGAGCCCCGTCCAACCTGACCTTGACTGCTTCCAGGGATGGGGCATCTACCACCTCTCTGGGCAACCTGTTCCAGTGTCTCACCACCCTTATCATAAAAAATTTCTTCCTCATATCTAGTCTAAATCTACCCTCTTTTAGTTTAAAGCCATTACCCCTTGTCCTATTGCAACAGGCCCTGCTAAAGTGTTTGTTCCCATCCTTCTTATAAGCCCCCTTTAAGTACTGAAAGGCTTCAATAAGGTGTCCCCACAGCCTCATCTTCTCCAGGCTGAACAACCCCAACTCTCTCAGGCTGTCCTCACAGGAGAGGTGCTCCAGCCCTCGGATCATTTTTGTGGCCCTCCTCTGGACCTGCTCCAACAGGCCCATGTCTTTCCTGTGCTGAGGGTGATAATGCCGTTTCCTCATCCAGAATACTGATCTGGAGACAGTAGACCTGTAAATATTTTTTCCCAATATGGTCAAAGTACATTTTGAGAGTCTGAGAGGTACAGTGATCACAAAGATTTGTTATTGTGTGCAAGTTCCGTATGTGCCTATGTGTGCCAGGGCAGCTCTGGCCAGACTCACTTATGTATCTGAAAAGATCAGTGTAGTGCCAAATGCTGTCTTGGCACAATTTTTCAACTCAGAAAAGGCGCTGTAGTTATGCTTCTGCTTTGGACAGTGGAGCAGAAAAACAAAAAATGAAGACTTTTCTACTAGTTTGCTCACCTATTTACTCAGTTAAAACCTATTGTTTTTCAAAGTTACATTACAACCGGACATGGTGTTGAAGGTGGAATCCCACTCCTGTTGGAGTCAAGGGCCAAACGTTCATTCACTTGGTTAGGGCCAGTATTTTGTTGTAATGAAATGTCAGCTGTCCCCTGCAGACAATAAGTAGCTTTTAAACAAGATAAAGCACTTCCCTGGTAAAATAGTTTGGAAACTATTGGTTAATGAGAGGTTTCTGTTGAGGAAATTCCTCTCAGCTCCAACATATTTTCTCTTTGGACAATATTTGTCTTTACTGTAATATTCTTACGGTCATCTCAAATAAAAAAAATGACTCGGGACTACCCTTTTAGAAAAGTGGACTGAAGACATAGACAAGAGGAGAATACACTAATCGCATTTAAGTGAAATAAAATAAAATTTCTTGAATGCCTTCATGCCTGAATTGGCTACTTAGAAAGTAAAGTGTTTCACATTCTATATAAAATGCTGAAGAAAAGAATGAAGAAAATCTATTATGGCAAATTTTATTCCATTTCGTTTACTTTGCACATCAAACTTAATTCTGTTGTTATTTTAGTGACATTAAACAAACAGAAATTTTAGAAGAACCAAAGTCCAAGCTTCACACTACTTCAGTAATTATTGCTGTTTTAATTTATAGATATTTTTATTTTAATTTTTACTTATTGAAGTTTGCATAAAAACAGTGAAGACTGCTTTTAAAGTCTTCACTACTTTTATATACAAAAGGATTATATAGTTATGCGTTTATTCTTGTGAGATGCATTATCATGCAACTCTTTCTGGTATGAATGAATATCTTGAAAGTGATAATCTTTGCCCTGTCAGGGTGAAGAGACATATTTTCTGACTGAGAATAACATCATCACAAACAGCAACAGTAAGTTTCATAAACTTTGAAGTCTACTGTGAGAACCTTTCATGATGATTATCCTCCCAGGAAAAAAAGTTAAGAATAAATTCATTATTGTCCTTAGGTCAATACAAACATGTAAAAGCAGTCTACATTTTTCAATGCTGACACACAAATTTGAATCAAAATAGCTTTCAACATGCAGCTAATATGATTTTTTTTTCTTTTACTGGTTCTAGTAGACCATCAATGAAATATTTACCTGACTAGTGTGGCTCTCCCTATGCCTTTGAATCGATGAGCCTGCCGTAGTACTGGCCGACAGTCTTGAATATTCATTTTCCTCTGGTAAACCTAAAGCAGAACAATACTCATTTATAATCTGACATTTATGCATTGGCTGATTTCAGCACGTGATTTAAAAGACCTTGACATGTTTTACTAAAAAAGAATGAAAAAAATCACACATTTGCCTGGATATTTATCATTTCCATGCTTACTGAAACTGGAACAATTATTGTTTACCAAGTATGAATAGCATCATAGGTATGCACGCAGGTTTACAGAAGGAGCAATTGTACTGAAAGAGCTTACGAATAACACATTACCTATACACTGGCCAGGGATTCCTCCTGCAATGCGGAAATCCCTGGCTCCTCTCCCCCCTGGCTCCTTTTCATCACAGAAGCAATGCAAAAGCAACTGAAAACAGGCCTGCAGTCTGCTCTCAAAGTCGATAGTAGGTCCAGGAATTACAACTTCATCTCCTCAGTAGAGAGGCTTTTTTTAATTCTTGTACTACTTATTGTGCAATCTCCATGTGGGAATAACATGCCCAAAATGTAGCTGTGTAAAAACCAGTCACCCAGTGTAAAAGAGCCAGGCAGTCTCCCTCTGTAGTCAAGAGAAACAAACATCTCTGCACAGTGACCCTAGAGCAAGGCTGACTGCTGGCGCTTCCCCATCACTTCTGCCGGAGCGGGAAGACCACCCGCATAGCACTACAGACGATCAGAAAGGTGGGATGAGAGGAAGCAAAGGCAGAAGCAGAAACAGAGTCTACAATAAGTCTTTTTAAGCCCCTCACAAACTAGAATCACAGACACCATGGTAGGTCTGGTATCTGGCAATTTTAGTATTGCTTCATATAGCATATATTCCACATTTTCATGCTGCTGTAGCATCCATAAACAGTGTATCACTACTACTTTAGTCAACTGAACAGAGGTAGCCACCATGAGAATAAGATTCATCCTGGTAGGAGATATGCAAGTGCTGTGGTTTGGCTCAGCTAAAAAGTAAAATTACTGAACAGAAAATTGGTTCTGTTTTAACTCAAACCAGGACAGCAAGTTGAATTGTTCTCAGTAGATCACCTGAGTTTTACTAACTAGAAATGGATAGCATCTAATCTGAAGTATTTGATTAGACTAGGCATTTACCTTTTGTGTGACTAAAACTAGGTAAGCTGATTCTGGGCCTAGATATGTAACTCTTAGATAAGAAAAAGTGATGCGAGCCCCACTCTTCACGTATTATACACAACATACACAGAATCATAATGGAAAAAACACCAAAGTTCAAAGGCAATGAATCATAAGCTACTTATGGGATTAGGTACTGGACTAGACATGGTTCTGTTTCATGTTCGAGTTCAGTTTCTTGTTCAATCATGAAACTGGCATAGAAACACTGTGAAACGTGCTTGTCTTCCAACTTGCTATTTTCAGCATTAAAAATAGGGGGTTTAATTTTTTTATTTTGATAAATAAGCGTTAACTCTTACATCGTTACTGATATATGACCTAACTCATGAAAATATAAATTGCATGAATAATCCCATAAAATAACCTGACTTTGTGAGAGAAATAGAATAAGAATTTTAAAGACAAGAAAAGATCCTTATTCCTTTTTGGCCTCTCTACCCTTCTTTTAGTTTTCCCCTTGGAATGGTGCATCTCCACAGTTTTGTAAATAGGGACAGCTCGTTCTTTTTGTTTGTTCTTCTGAATGAAGCTTGTGTAAAGTTTTCATAAAAATGGATCTTTTTCTACAGCTTCAAATTATCTGGACTTTCTCTGGACACACACAAGCAGTGAAGAAGGTGGAACCCCTGCTTGCAGCTCAGGAGCCAGGCCAAATCTTGTGAGAATCCAGCATTTCAGTCCTTTTCTGCTGGGTGCAGAGAGGGCGTCTGATCCTGTTCTCTCAGTAATTTGAACTACATGTTGTTTCGAGGTGGAGTCATCACTTTTTGGAACCGATCCATGATGTATTAAGTATGTACTGGGGCAAGGTCTGATGTTTAAGTTCTCCAGTATACTAAGCTTGTAAAATATACGTAAGTTACCACTATTCCTTTCTTACCTATATTAAATTCTGCACTGTCCAACTTAAAATTCTCCCTCAGCAAAAATAACATATATTTTGTCAAATGAAGCGCTTTGAAATAAATTGCCCTCCAAAAATCCAGTTTTTGCCAATACAAAACAAATCCCTTTTTTTTCAAATAATTTCCTGAGCTAATAATTTATTCACAAGGATTTAGTTTGGATACATCTCAAACAAAGTAATACAAAATTACCCACATTTTAATGCAAAATGCCTTTTAAAAGTAAGTGTTATTAATTTAACTCAAATAAAAGATATCATGTAAAATATTTGCATGATTCTAGACCACCATAAATGAATGAAAACACTTTCCTAGGCCAGGGGCATGTTTTGAACAAGATATTGGTTTTGCACTCTATTCATAAACTTTAGGATCTACCGTCTATGACAGCCTTGAGCTAAGAATACAGCTATCAATGATTTTCTGTTTATTTCTACGAAAAGCACTTTGATAAGAGGTCTTATCAAATAAGTAAAGTTTCCATGTACAGCAACAGCACGTTGTCACAGCCATGGCAAGCAGAGGCTTGGTGGAATTTGGAAAGATAAATGGAATAGTTGATTATATTCTGAGAGTTTTCCTTTACGTACACCTAAGTAAATATTAGGATACCACAGCTGCACACTGAATAAGACCTTGCATAATTCAGCACAAGGTTGGAAGCATCAGTTTAGCAGGGGCAGGGGCAGAACTACAAGAATGTAAGTTAATCGGGGATTCAGGCTGGAGCACAAATTACACCATCCGAACTGGGCTTTCTTACAACTATTCTCAAGTTACTAAAAGTAAGTCTAATTTGGCAATTTTTTTTTCAAAATTCTGTTTACTAACATTATTACTGCAATTATATGTGGTGGTGAAAATGATAGCAAGGGATATGATTAGATCAATAATATCTAACTAGAGAAGTTAAATGAAAGAAATGTATTTCTTTTTTTTTTTTTTCACATAAACAAGAATATGGCCTTGTCCAAAGCAATATGTGTACTCAAACTAAAAACCCAATCAGTTACCCACTTACTCCCTGTAATGCCTTTTTTATATCAGTTCAAAGAAAGATCCCACACTCAATGCCTGATCTTCTTCCTATACTTTCTATTTCCTGTTTCTGCCCTGTTCTCAAATGCTCCTCTTAGGATCTTTCAGATAAAAAGCTTGCATCTCAAATATTGAGGTCCAGATCACCGGACATCTAGAAGTGGGTCTGTGGCACCAGAGAACCTGCAGTCTCATAGGGTCTGCTACCCCCAAACTGGAGACCCTGCACCTCCTGGCCTCCAACATCCATATTTGCAAAACAGCAGCAACACCACGGAGTCTCTGGATCTGTGTAGCTGTGGCCCCACATCATTCCCCGAACCTTCTACCTTCCTTCATGATTCCGCATTCACACACAGGCTGGATCTAATGATCAGCTCCACTTGATACATTGGCTGCTATACTGTGAAAGAAGCATCACCAGGAAAGGCAAGATGCGTGGCTCTGTGCTTAACAGCATGTAACCTGTGTCATGCTGACATGCCCCTTTTCTGTCAGGTTATCTGCTGTGACACCTCTCCCATTCTGCAACTTGTTGCCTGACGTGCTTAGATGTCAGGATAAGTTTCAAGAGACCATACAGCAGGCTGTAGCCCACAGGTGACCTGCTTAGACAGAATGACTATCTTCTCAACAGCTAAAGTTATACAAGACTAATCTCCTTACCTGAATAATGCATACGGCTTTTGGTGAAACAGACAGGTTCTTGACAGTTACTCTTATGCCAATCAGCATAAACTATATATTAAGTCCATTTACATGTATCTCCATACACACGCAGTGGACCTCAGTTGTAACTGAAGACGAATAACTAGAGAGACTTCCTTTGAGGGGCAGCAGCACGCCAACGGAGCTCGATGAACAGCCCAGTGCAGAGTGTGTGCCTCTGTGACTATTAGGCACGACGCAGCACGATGCTCCTGCAGTCCAACAGGGCTGTCTCGTCTATACAATAGCTACTCTAATTTTCACTTGGGTTACACAAAGTACCTCTACCACACACTCCACTGCGGGTAAAGAACTGTCAGACATCGGGGGAATTTCTCTCTTTCATTAACCAAAGTTTAGGTCACCTCAGTCACTTATTATAGTGATCATATTTAAACATTTCACTTGATCATAGAATCATAGAATCTCAATTAAACACTCTATATCCTATTAGATCCTAGTTGCAAATGACAACAAAGTTCAGTAAACTTTTACCCGCAGTGTTTGAGTGTCTCCCACCAGAGTATCTGCTGGTTTGGGTGATTTAGGATCACAACTTTCAGCATTGTCATGTAAAAGGTTATTACAGGCTTTACTCTTTGTGTTTGGACAAGGAATAGCAACAAAGGTCTTTCTTTCAGACTAAAAACTCTGGTAGATGTGGAAGATTTGTGGCAGAAAAGTCACAGTTTGTTAGCACAGAGCTGTAGAAAGGTGTTACTTCTAATATTAAAGATAAACTAAAGAAGAAGAGGTTTACATTATATAAAATGAAGAAGCAACTTCTTTTAAATTTCTGCACTAACAGCAGTGCCAGAAATTAAACTCAGCTTCTGAAAGTGACACAGCATTAACCTGTTTGGAAGCTGAGCCAGACAACTTTTTACCTGCTTAGTAATGGTTTTGTAAAGAATTCATTAGGTTATAAGTAAGATTAACATCTTCATCAAAATGATTATTCTTGTGACCGTAGTGACTTTAAGTTTCCTGATGCTTCAGAGGAGTGGGGCTGATACTTCATTCATGACAGCAAAAGACTAGTCTTATTTAAGAAATTGCTTCTATATTAACTCATATGAGTGATGTATGAATCTAGACTTTAGTTCTATGAGTGGAAATTAAATTGTATAGTTGCACTGTATAACAGTAGGAAGCAGATTGCTCTATATTCAAGGGTTTTGTAATCTCAGTATAAAATATTTAATAATGTATTTCAGGTTTTATTTTCCCCATAGCTAGAGGACTTTGGTATACAGTAACAAAGAGATGAAAAATTATTTTACATGGAAACATCTCATGGCACGTTCTTTAATTTCAGTATTGCCTAATACATCCAACAAGGCACAGATTTCAAAATCATGAAGATGTTAAAGTTGTATCTTGGAAGGATTTTTTTTCCTAAGCAACCTTGATTTGAATTAATGTAATCAAAGTACACCAATGTTTTCCATATTGTCATCTATTTCAATTATTATTAAGGGTGCTTGGAAAACTAGCAATCTGTATCACAAAATTTATAATCTGATTTTGCCCTGCATCAGGGTAAAAAAAAAGCTTGTGTATTTTCTACAACAGTCTGACAGGCAAAACATAGATTTGAACCTTGAAATACCACAAATAATATTAATTCCTTCACCAGTGGGATACTGACATACCTAAAGGGAGTTTTTTTCTACTCATGGTATACAGTGAATATCAAAACCATTCCTTGTCAAAGCTGCATCAAAATTGGGAGCCTTCCATGAGAAGTTAGGGTTTGATGAATCAGTGTTTTTAATGGAAAAAATATCTTACTGGAAAATTCCATTGCATGACAGTACACCTGTATGATTAAACTTTCCATATATAAATAGCTTGAAAAGAATTAGATTATGCATAGTAGATACTGCGTATTATCAATCTGAATAGCACTGGCTACTAGTGGTTGCAAATACACTGATAAAAACTTCACACAAATAATTACAAGCACCCATCTTGCCTATTAGTTGGCCTTTTATTCAAGCAATGACTATTTATTTAAGTAACTGAGCTCATTTACTAATTTAACTATAATAATCACAAATTGCAAACTTAAAGCATAATTTCATTTCTAAGCTGAAAGAAACACAGCTCTTGTGATTAAACTCCCAGTTAAGGGGTCTGGGGATAAAACGGTTGCTCTTACAAAAAGCTAATCTCCCACAGGTCCCATTAGGACATCAGAATATACAGTTAAAATCCTATGTAGAAAGGAATCAAAGACTTGGTCTACCCACAGTTTTTGTGTTAATTTAACAGTCTGACTGTTATACATACTGAAAATATGCTCCCCTCCTCCCCAAATCATTATACCAATACAAATGGGGACACCGTTGTAATGGACAAAGATGCTTTTTTCTTCTGTCACAGTGTGTTCCTGGTTCCACACAGGAATGAATGCACCTTTATACTTGTATAACTTCTCAGACTGGATGAGTTTTCTGCTTTGATTATCAGAGAGAGCAGGAAGAATTATTTTGGCCAAGCACTGCAAAATTTGGAGAATAGTTTTTCTTAAAAAGAAAGAAATTATTTGATTTTGAAATGTTTCATTATGATAATAAAGCAGCTGTAGTCTCTTTTTTTTTTTTTTTTAAAGAGGATAACATATTTGGGAAACAAAATTCAATATTTTACTTGACCTAATATTTTTTCCCTTTGATTTTTCCAATATAGCTCTCAAACTACCAACTGCATTATGTGTAGTTCTACCCTTAACAGTAAAGGTTATACAACTGTTCCACTTACACAACCCATATTTAGACTTAAGTTTTCAGCATGAAGATAACTGTACCCGTTGCCATGCAAGTATTTAGACATCTGCTTCTCCACATTCCATCAAAATAAATACTTTCTATTTGTCTTGTGTTTTTTCATAGTTGTCTATTTGTATCATGTGACTTTCTGTAATACAGGTGTTATATCCTTAGGATTTATGCTTTTAGGACCTTGAAAGTTTTCATTCTTTCTGTCATTGCTCTTGCACCATTTTGATCATCTTGTGGCAATAACAAACAATTTGTCATTCACTAGTATGGCATCTGTAGCAAAGGGAGATCACGATTTTCCATTTTCTGTCCCATTTGTATTGATTATAAGATCAGAAACCTCACATCTCAGTCCTCCATGCCTTGGGCTGCTTATAGACTTGGAGCTGTGCTAATTAGAAATTCCTCAACAGAGGTTGTTTTATTTTCTTCACATTCAGCTTTTATTGCAGAGGGGCTTATCAGTTCACACATACAAAGTTAAGCCAGTTCCAGAAACACAGATATTTCACAACTCAGAAGATTCCAGCTTGACTATATCTTAAAAAGCTCATTCAAGGAAACACTTCAGCACTTTTATGTTAGAAGAGCGTTGGGATTAAAAACTGCTTACCATTTGATACTGAATTTCCATTTTCAGCAGTCACAGAACTGGACAGTGGATTAGATGACTGAGTTCCATGGTTATTTGCATTTTTATCCTGGGTTTCTGATCCAATATCTGATGTATTTGGATCTTCCCTGCTCCTCAAGTTCAGATTAGTTTCAGCACCTGACACAAACAGAGAAAAAGCTTGTCAGCTTGCTGTGGCTTTCACATTTAAGTAGAAAAAGCTAACACACAGAAAGGGATTACTTTACCAAATTAATTTAATTAATCACTAAATTGATAAGTCCAGTGATAAATGTGGAATGTTTAAGTCAGTGATTTTTTGATTTTTGCAGGGTTTGGTTTTTTTTTTTTTTTTTTGCTAGTGTTCCACTCGTAGTCATTTAAAGTTTATGGAAGTGAAAAGCCTTAACAAAATTCAATATGCACTGTTTCTTTTCACACATATATCAGCTGATAAAACTCAACAAATGTTTGTATCGCCTCTATTTTAGATTCTCTTCTATTTCAAATAAGTTCATATACAGCTGTCATCACTACAATGTCTTTCACCATTGCATTAGTTGCTACTAGATATAACAGGGGTTTACTTTTTTCTCTTATCTCCTCCCACAAGAAATGAAATGGCCTTTCATATGAAACCATATGTAGCAAAATTCCTCCCAGCAGAGCCTCCTCACAGGTGTTATTTACCCTGCCTCAGGGCACTCCAGCCATCAGTTGTCATTTGCTATAAAGTTCCAGGTTACCATGCCTTTTAGTTAAATTTCTTCAATATATCAAGAGGAGGCCTGAGCCTGTAGGAGTTCCCAAGCTGCGTACAGCGCACAGGCGTTTCTCCAAAGAGAAGGGCAAAACCTTTCTCTTCTTCCCCTCCTGACTGATGGCACGTCCACACAAAGCAGAGCAGCTCACAGCAAAGTGCCTGGAGCTGGTTCCGAGCTTGCCTGGCTTTGTCAGCCCAGTGAGCCACAAAAAGTAGGGTTCAGTCATCAGAGGTGCCCAAGCACTGCTCCCCACTGGAGTTCAGGGGCCAGAGGCAGGCTCGGAGCTGGGATACAAGACCGTGAACAGATGGGGATTGTAGGAGAGACCCCCAGTGCAATTATGGCGTCCCTGGCTATCCGCACTCCACCCCTGTGTGGTGGGGCTGATGAGGCTGCACAAAATGCTGTACTGGCAAGGCTATGCAGTTTTTGATAGATTTCTCTCTCTTTCCTGTGTTTCTCTTCCTTTTGTGGTAAACACTTATATATACTTTTTCCTTGCCATGATCTCTTTTTTTTTTTCTTTTTTTTTTCCCACAGAATACAAAGCTGAATTCAGTTCCCTGTTTAGCTGCATTTCAGTTTCCCTAACTCTTTGCACCCGCTCCTAGGGCTGATGTCTTATGGCTGACCTGGGTGCATGGGCCCTCATTTAGCACTCCAAAAAGGAAATTATTCTTCTATGGCACCTCTCAAAGCGCTATTCCTTGATTTTTGTTGTGTCTACTTAAGCTTTGTCATATGTACAGCAACAACCAATGGAAGTCAGAAGACTAGTTATTAAAACCAACATTACAGCATTCATCCTTACTTCCAATGACATCCCCACCTCTCCCAAAGATACAATATGTTCTTGTGTCTTGAGCACATGAGCATTTTTCAAGGGGACAGTAAAAACATTTTTTCACCAAGTGACAGATACTTTCAAACTTAATGTTGACCACATGATTGATATTTCATTTTTATGCCTGAACTGAAAACAACCACCTAATTTACAAAGTACCAACATTTTAAAAATTAATTAATGAAACAAAAACCTACATATCCATTCTGGTTAACTTGAAATGTTGCATTTCAGTGAAAAGGGCTTTCTTAGTTTTGTTGAGCTTTCGGTTATCTAACTCGGAATCTTTCTTAATGTTTTCTCTTCTAACAAAAAAGCTGTCTTGAAAAGTCAAAAAGTTCATTTCCAAGCTGTCAGAATAAAACATTTCAATGTTTATTTTGCTCCCTCCCTTGCCCTTTTTTCCCTGATCATTATTTTTTGCCAGATCTGATTGGAGTGTTTCAGTGGCACTGTTTCATAAACCGCATATTTAGGCAAATGTGCTATGCATTGAAAAAATTTGGCCAGCTCTACCCACAGTAACTGACTTGGGAGAGGCGGTAGAACCAGAGTCTGAGCTGGAAAATGCATACAGTACAATTATAAGAGCATGCCTGATTTAGCTTTTGTACAAGCAAGTTGACTGCAAAATGCATCTTTGCAGCTCATATTAAATTTGTCTGAAAAGGAAATGTCACTTTTAGATGTTAATAGTCAGTGCACTTGCCTATAGATCATAATCCACCTACATAATTATTGTGTCACCTTTTACATAAAGAGTCTCGGGGGAAGTGGCTGGGATCCTTATTTTTCTTGATATCCGAAAGATTTATTGATTTGCCTGACATCTGCAATTCATTTGAGAATGTGCAAGTAGAAAGACTTTTTCTTGCATTCCTATTTGCAGAAGCCTTTTGTTTCATGGGTACATTGATAACTTTTCATGGCATTCATGGAGGGTTCTTGGAAAAATAAATTTTCTCCTTTATATCTGAGATGAAATACTACAAAGAATTGTGGATAGCTACTATTGAGCTAAAATATCATCTTAACTTGGCAGAAACAAGTAGTGGAGAGATATGCAGCATATCTTTTGGGACAGTTATCTAGATAGAGATCTGTTATCCCATTTGCTGTATTCGGTCATTGTAAGAAATGTATGCCTTTAGTCTCTAAATAGAAGACGATATAGAGAAAATACACTTCACAGTGTCTTATTTAATTAATCTTGGGAGTAGGGAAGACGCCTATATTTTGTTTCAAAATAATTTGGATTATATAAAGGTACTTGAACTAATTTTTTTATGTATAGGCATCTTCAGCTCCTTGCTGGAGCAGATTCATGTGAGTCTACAAAAAAAAGTGTAACCACATATATTGGTTAACTTCTAAAAGACGCCTAGAGAAGTCAGAGTGTATCCCTAGCAAACAAGTACTGTTCATTTATTTTGGACTTTGTGTACAATGGGGGAGTTTCTGAAGAAAACATTTGCTATAAGTAGAACAATAAGGATGCTTTAGTCAGGTGTAACCAGTGTACTCTCCCAGTGCTGCAAAACTTACCTAGGATCACTGGATAATGCGTGTTGGAAGGGACCTCAGGAGGTCCCTCGTGCACCCCTGCTCCAAGCAGGACCAGCTGTGAGGTCATAACAGCTTGCTCAGGGCTTTGCCCAGATGGGTCTTGATGCCCTCCAAGGACGGAGCCTGACCAACCTCCCTGGGCAGCCTGTCCCTCTGCCTGCCCCCGGGCCTGCCTGTCCTCACGGGGCGAGGTTTCTCAGCCTGAACCCCTCTCATTTCAGCTCATGTCTGCAGTACATTTTTGCCCTGCCACACACAGCTGTGAAGGGCCCAGCTGCCCCTTCTCCATTCCTCCCCATAGGCACTGGGGTGACTGTGAGGTGCCCCTGAAACCATCTCTGCCCCAGGCTGGACAAGCCCCACTGCCCCAGCCTCTGCTCATGGGGACATCCTCCAGCCCTGAGCATTGTCGGGGTGAACTCACTCCACATTAACGGCTTCTTTCCTGCATTTGGGGGGCACCAAACTGGCCACGGTATCCAGATGTGACCTAACAATGAGTGCTGGACAGAGGAGACAACCCCTGCCCTGACCTCCTGGTGGGTGCTCCTCCTGACACAGCCCGAGGTGCTGCTGGCCATCTCTGCTGCCAGGGCTTGCTGCTGGCTCCTGCCCAGCTCCCAGGGCACCCAGCACCCTTTCCCCAGAGCTGCTCCCTGGACAGTCTGTCCCCATTGCAAGAGGTAATTCCTTCCCAGGTGCAGGACTTTGCATCTGTTTTTTCAATAAGCTTTAACATGCCAGAAGGCCCTGGCTTTATCTTCTGTGCTGCGGTATCCTTCTCTGTCCTGCATCCCCACTACCCAAAATATCCCTGAGCATAACAAAGATGTCTCCTGACTTTTTATCATAATATCCTATTGCACACAGTTTATCATTGCACAGTGGTATCTTAGACAGGAGTACTGTGGACAATTATAAAAGATATAGGGAAGGCCTCTGTTAACACTAAAGACTTAGAAAATTCCTACTGATTCCTATTTTATCCATGGAGTATTGGTCTGAGATTCACTTCATCATCATGTTTTCTCAGTCACAAAATACAGAAGTTTGAACTTTTCTCCACATTAATGTCAACCTTACCTGCTGCCATGAATCCCTGCACATACAAGTATGCACTGCTCTCTCATCCCTTGATAACTTTCTGAAACTATCAGAAAAACTTTAGGACAGTGGAAAAGAAAAAGCCATGGTTCCTACAGTTGAACATCTTCACCAACATGCTGAATGTTAGCTTTTTGTTCAGACTTGTGCTCTGCTGTTCTCACCAGATGGATGGATTTACCAGATTTCAATTTTATTTTTTTTTTCAGTAACAGCATCTTAGCAGTTTCCAGATCATAATAAATGTTATTTGAAGAGTCATCCATGCCTACTTGTGAGAGACTAGTTACAGAGAGGTATCAGCTGTAAGAGCATGGTGGGAGTTCATGAGTATAAAAGGAATACAAGCTTTAAGTGAAAACCTACAGACTCTTTGCAACAGTGAACAGCATTTGGATTATTATTTCAGTAAACGGACATTGCCAAAAAGATATTTCTGACTCAGTCAAATTCTGCTCTGACTAATCTTGCAGTTAATGAGGATGTGTGGACTACAAGGATGTACGGGTGTTTGAATTGGGGGCACAATTTGCCTCTCAACTGCAGCAGAGTTAATAGCTGGAAGCAATACCACATACAGGGTTTTTTTTTAATCAGAGTATGAGTTATTTCCTTACAAGCAAGCTCTGTATTCCAATAAACCCATAATTAATTACATCAACATTACTTGAAAAGTGTAAGAGGAAAGGTATGCAAAAGAGGCAGCTCACGAAATCCACATTTGCTTGTTTTTCTCAGTGTTCCTGGAAGAGGCTGAGTTTAAAACGCATGACAAAGTCATAAGGCATAGGATGGACTGAAATTTCACTTATTTTGGAAAGAAAAGTCAGAGTATGGCAATCATAGAAATGATTTAATATATCTGCTTTTTCTTTTCCTTT